GATAGATAGATAGATAGATAGATAGATAGATAGATAGATAGATAGATAGATAGATAGATAGATAGATAGATTTTATTTATATATATATAATGGCTTGGTGTATATATATTCTCCACACATAAGTTATCTTTCACTGTACACATGCACACACATTCATGTAAAGATATCCTGTATTCGGTTCTCATAGATTACATTTTGACACATCAACTGCATTCCTCCCTCCCAAGTCAGAAAAATTTTATGAAGTGGAAACTCACCCCCACTCCCTTCTATTCAATCACAATTATCCACTGTTCTAAACAACTGATGTATATGTGGCTGATACTCCAAATAGTGCAGCACTAGCTAATTAAAGGCAGTACAAATGTTTGAAGAAGAATGTCTCAAATACCAGTATTCCAAACACAGGCACTTTTGCTTCTGAAACAATTTGGCCGAATTAGATTTTCACTTGGATTCTGGCACCAAATTGGCAGAATGAAACAAATTCATTCTGAATCCTGGAAATCCAATTTATGCTGGTAAGTTTAATAGAATACAGCTAGTTGAAAAGCTTTTACTGAATTTTAGCAACAAATTTTTAAAATATTTCTGTAAATATATATATATTTATATATATATTCCCGCAGTTTCTGTTGGAATGGTTAGTTTGAAGTTCTCTTCCAAAACCTATTTTGAAGAAAAGTCATTTCAGGGAAGAAGTTGAAGATAGTGGTCTTGCTCTGACCACCAAAAATAATATATAGCAGATCTCACTGCCACGGTCTCCTCAAAATATTTCTGTAAATATATATATATTTATATATATATTCCCGCAGTTTCTGTTGGAATGGTTAGTTTGAAGTTCTCTTCCAAAACCTATTTTGAAGAAAAGTCATTTTAGGGAAGAAGTTGAAGATAGTGGTCTTGCTCTGACCACCAAAAATAATATATAGCAGATCTCACTGCCACGGTCTCCTCAACATATTTCTTTCACTGTTGGATTGGCAAGTGGGATGGAGGGTGGGGCACAAAAATAGCTTCCAGAAGGAGAGACTGGCCTGGTTTACATATTGCACTAAGTTGTGGTTTGCTTAACAATGTTTAATTAAATCTCAGATGGCTTTGTTTACATATACATAGACGCAAACTCATACATGCATAGACAAATCTATATAGTCTAAAAACCTGGTTTATAAATGACCGGCTCCACACATTACACTGTTAGAACTATACAAAATCAAGATTAAGACTATCAGTTCCCTAGTGTATAAGTCAGTACATGTTTAATAATAATATATAAAAGGCAACATTTGTGTAACACTGATAGTTTAAAATCTCATACCCAGTCATTTTTTGTCTATTGTCATCAGGGATACTATTTAGAATTTATTATGATTGCACTGTGAATCAACAGTTATTCCTTCATAGTTAATTTAATTAATTTAATTTAATTTATTAAATTTATATGCCACATGACTCCCAGTGACTCTGGGAGGTTGTTGACTAGTTCCATTAGTATGGTCTATGGGCTTAATTTTTTTTTTTAAGAAAGAATTACAGCTGCTCGACAACCAACACTTCATTTCTTGTAGTGCCTTAAAACATATATGAACAGTTCCAACATATTACGCTATATGCTTTAATGGGATTATAATGCACTGATGCTAGTTTTAACCGGTAATTAAGCTTCTCCAGAAAATATTAACTTTAGCCCCATATTTTTTGCTGTTAATTTGCTCAGCATAAATATTTTAATTCTAAAGCTGCTCTAAAAGAAAGGTATTGGCAGCCAACTCAACAATGTAAAAGTGAACTTTAACCAACTCAACCAGTCAGAAATAGGTTGCAATAAATGAAAGAACTTGTGTGGCTCCAAATGATAAAAATATTTGATAAAGCTTCACCTAACAAATAGGATCACAGAGCCAGAAAGGGCTTTAAATCAAGCCCTCCACTCAGTACAAGAATATTAAATTAATTAAAACATTCCTGCAAGTGTAAAGAACAGGTGTTAATCTTACTCTATGGATGCTATAATTTGAAGAATCAGAGATTCACAGAGTTGGAAGAGACCTTAGGGGTCACCCAGTACCATACTGTATCATATCCCCTTCAGTTTTCTCTTCTCACAGCTAAATATTCCCAGCAATTTCATTATCCTCTGATCATTCTCACTGTCCTTCTCTGAATCTCTTCCAACTGGCCTAAATCCTGTGACTCCATCTGGATACAAGACTTGAGGCAAAGACAGAAAAGGGGTTTTGGTGGGAAAATGCCTTGGCATGTTTCCAGACTGTTGGCATAATTGACTATGCTGGCACAAATTGCAGAATACCATTTTGGGGTTGGGGGGCTTTTTTATTTTTGTTTTTGCATAAAGCAAATTCTTGGACAAAAATGATCAATCGCATAATAGAAAATTCATATAAAGTGAAGGAAACATGCACTTTATACATAAAAAAATATTTATTTGTTTGTTTGTTTGTTTGTTTTGTTTATATTTCACATTTGTTACCTCCCATCTCACTGGAAGCGACTCTCGTTGATTTACAGTAAAAGAATAAATATTAATTAAAATACAATATAGTAAACAATGGAAGTTCACCAGTATTGATATTGCCTCCTGAATCTTTAGGAGATTTAAAAAATTTTAGAGTTACAAGAGTGGCATGCAAATACTTTTCAACTGACAGAATTAATATATGTAGATGGTTATCATGAAGGAATGTAGACCTGTTCTTGGGAATGGGAAAGGAATGAGCAAATTGTTAAGGGGGACCTTACAGAAAAGACTACTCAGTCCTAAGAAAGAGGAAAAAATGAGAAATAAACTCAAAATGGCTCCACTTTGATTTTGTTTGGTATAAGATGGGGCAGATAAAAACCCTAGTAGGCTTTAAAGATTCTGCTGTTCTACCCTACAACAATAAAGAACATTTCTGGAATCCCTGTTGTACCTGTTCATTGACCTGGACTTTTTCAAAGGGCTGACAGTTATATAACTGCATAACCTCTGACAGCTTTTTGAGGTAGTCCAGCCAAGAAGCACACCCCAGAGTACTAGCTCTATCTTTATTGTAAGGTTATGTTAACAGAATCTTGCAAATCTGAAAGTATATATCTCCCCACTTTGCCTTTGCAGTCCAAGAAACTAGAGTCCCTTCTGAAATGTTTGCCATGTCTCCATTCCTGCTGTGGGCTGAGTTGCTGCTTTTCTGACCATTGTCTAGTCTGTGGCTCTTGTCTCCCCACGTCATTCCCATATACCATTACAGCTTCCATTACTTTAATATTAATAATGTACAAGGTTTGTATCAATGTAATGACAGCCATAGCTTTCTATATGCAACTTTAAAGAAAAGAACTAGCCATCATAGCTATTTTTTTTTTTCAAAATACCTTATAAACAGATAATGCAACTGTGTACATTGGGTCCAGTAATTTTTAAAGAAAATTTGTAAAGAGAAATCAGAAATATTATTCTTTTGAAGCATTATCAGTTGTGACTTAAATTGTGACTTAAGTAACTTAAGTACCTTTTCAAGACCTTCCTCCTTAAGACTAATGACATCTAAGTCAAAATCTGTCCTTAAACCATTGGTTTTGTTGAACGTTATCCTGCCAGTGAGACCTTCCCAGTGAGCCTAGGAAAATAGGGGGAAAAAAAATCATATGTAAGCAGTAAGAAAGAGAGAGAGTGTGGGAGAGCGAGAGAAATGAATAAATTAATGACTGCCAAGATGGAATTATTAATTATTCATTAAATTTAAATCATTTTCCTTATAGCCGATATTAAAAAAAAAATCATATCCACTTTTGGGATTTCTGGCATTCTTCTGATAATTAAACCAACTTTTCTTTAATCTCTGCATACAATACTTTAATACCTTTCCATTCTATCTCCCACTACATACCACACATAGCGCTTCATGACTAGGATGAAAAAGACTGATATTTGAAACGTTTTCATTATTTCCTTATTTAGGATATAGGGATTTTTGTTCTCTGTTGCCGTCTCTCAGTATATCTCCAGTTATGAGTTTTATATAACACATCTTATCACTTTGTGTAACACAGTCTTTACTGCATTCAATACCATTCATACAAAATACATTCATAGTATTAATCTCTAATATTCATTTTTGACTATGGAAAATTAAAATTATGAATTTTGCCCTAGGTAGAATTCAGCACTGTGCTGGTAGTTTTCTGCTAGTTCAAGTGGATATTCTTTTATTCCCTTCAAAGGGTTCCTAAGGAAAAAAAAATTGACTCTTGCCATTGCACCCAGAGAAATTACTTTTGCTAACAAAAACATCAAATTGGATCCTACCTTCTACTGTTCCTATAGCAAGAAAAAGGGGGGAAATCAGGGTGCAACATGCAGAAATTGTCCCATAGACATTCCATAAGATATCACAAGATTAAGCAAATGAGAACTGCATCATAGTAATGGATTGGGGAGGGAGGGCAGTCATTACTTGCATTTAAATATATCTGTGGCCAACTTCTTCAAAAGTTCCAAATAAATGGGAATAGAACCATGCCCTACCAAAATGTTGTTGAAAGATCTCATTTCCTATAAAATGTGTTACATAGAATGATATATGTTTGCACAGTTATGATCATTGCAAGCTCATTTTAAAGCTCAGAGCTTAATTCAGAAATATAGACAGCTATCAAAATATGTGGGGGAGGGAGGAATCAACTTCATACACTTCTGGCCATACATATAAGAAAATGCCAAAGTTTGAAGAATTTCCATGCCCACACTAGTGGTAAGTCTCCACATTAATAGACCTTGATTTGATATTGAATGATGTCCTTGTTCAGTTTCTAGAGACAGCTAGCCATTCCTATTTTAAACTTGAGAATTTGCAGACTCCAGTGCTTCTATTCTATTTGCCAAGATTGCCTTATAAAATACAGGTAGTCCTTACTGAGCAATCACAACTGGGACCGGCAACTCTGTCACTAAGTGCTGCAGTTGCTAAGCAGAAAATCACATGACCACAATGGGCTTACAACCTTACTTCCCGTTCAGTCATTAAGCAAATCACTGTGGCTGTTAAGTGAAATATCACATGACCACAACTTACAATTTTACTTCCATATTCTGTATTAATTCTGCTTGTTGCAAGCCAGTTGTGAAGCACACAAATGGTGATCGTGTGACTGCAGGATACTGTGACAGTCATAAACACAAGGATTGGTTGCAAAGCTATTTTTTTACACTGTCATAACTTCAAACAGTTGCTAAATGAGGCAGTCAGTAAGTGAGGACTACTGTATAATATTGAGCTTGGGGTTGATTTGAATCCATAGTTTTCAGTCCTGGAACAAACTAAACTCACAGTGCTGAAAAGAGCATCATGACAATTCCATTACCATTACATGTGAAAAGATTATCAGCACTTATCATTCTACTATTTGTACATATCCATGTTAGATCTCAACATCTTATTATGCAAGCTTACATTAAGTACAATTTGAACCTCATAAAATGTAGGACATTTAGTAAAATATAGGCCTTTCAGAAACCGGGGAGTGTACGTTGAAAAAATTTAGCATGAAAATATTTAGCATGAAAATAATATAGGCAGGCATCAAATTGCTGCACACAGCTGTTATATTTTGTACTCATACAATTTTTTATTCTGCGCAGGGATGATACTTCTTAGCAAAGCATTTCCTGCTATTTATTTATTATTCAGTTTATCGAGCATATTGTGGGTTTAGGCTGTCTGGGCAAAAATTTCAGTGCAAACTGCTTACAAACATATGCCTCTATCTTGAGTGCACATCTCAAAGCCAAAGACATTGCACATGCTGAATTTCTAACCAACAATGGAGCATATCTTGCTTCTGACTTACCTCTTTAATTAGATTCATAAAGCGGGTCCCAAACCTCCATGGTTTGTGGCGATTACACTGTAATGAACTAACAGTCATCTGTGGAAACTGCTGGACAGCAACTGACACCACATGAACAGCATCATACATTAAAGCTGCATCTGTCTGAAATGAGAACACAAGCAATGCTGTGAAAATGACCCACAGAAATTGCATCACAGCCAGGCAAGGAAAAGCAAGGCATACTCTTTCCACCTTACTTTAGGACAGAAGACAATGATAAGATAGTCACCTTATTAAGCAAAGGCATGAATATTACATTACATACTACAAAAAGTACATGTTGTTACATATTTCATATTCCTTTCTTTCTCAGTAAGAAAAATGAAGAAGGGACCTGATTTGGACTAGGCCCCTGGTATGAGGGGACAGAAATATTTAAGACCTTACCCATTACTCCCCAGTTGGGTTTAGGAAGGGATTACATCTATCAGGTTCACTTGCTCCCCAAATGGTTTCCTAAATATTTCTAAATTTTGTTTAAATTCTTGTTTTAAAACAATACATTGAATGACATTCTTCTTCAGTGCATAGAGCTCTTCCTGGAATGTAAAAATGTTTAATTTGCACTGATCTGGCTATACTTTACACTCAACATTATTCCCAGCAAAGAGACTTGAAGAAAACTTGATAATCTACTGTTTTGTTCGAGGCATCAGATACATAATAAATAAAATATATGCATTTAATACTTTGTCTTCCACTGAAATTGCATGTCTATACTCTGTGCATGTGGGTATAACTCTGTAACTCTTCTCAGAAGAACCTGTTGCTTCTGTTCATTGACAAAATTAGTGAGCTGTGAAATGAATTAATTAACAATAGGAAGCCCAGAAATTACTGAATTTGTCATCACACAATACAAAGTTAACTTCTATAATGTTCTCCATACAAATTAATCCCAACTCACTTTACAATAAAGCAAAGCATTAAAAATGTAAAAATGTAAAAAGAGCCAGTTTGGTCTAGTGGTTAAGACTTCAGGCTAGAAACCAGGAGGCTGTGAGTTCTAGTCCCTCCTTAGGCATGGGTAAGGAGAGACTAGAATTGTCTAGATTCTCCTAGAAAATATTAGGAAACAATATTTTCTAGGAGAATCTAGACCATATTTGTCAAACACAAAGGAACAACACCCCCCCCCAAAATCCAAATCATTCTCAAAGAATCTATATAGTTACTCAGTTTCTTCCACTTTCCCACCCTCATATACTAAGCAGTAATAAATCCAGATTCCAAAGACAATTATGTGTGACATATGTTCTAACAAAATTCTGCATCAATTTGATTCAAATTCTGTGGCAAGAATGCCTCCATTCTGCAATATATGTCTTGGGAATCAAGACATATATTGTTCATATTTTGTTTTTCATATTTTCACATGCCTATTTTAATGGACCACTTTAATAGATAAGCAGGAAAAAACCATTCAGTAGATGATGCTTTTACCTCCTTGGGCACGGGAGATAAAAAGCAAGAATGTGCCCATATATTGGTGGCAGGAGAGAGAACAATTCTTCCCCCTTTCTTTCTATTATTGCTCCAACTACAGATAATTGTTAAATTAATGTATTGTCAAAGGCTTTCACGGCCGGCATACGATGGCTGGTGTGGGTCTTCCGGGCTGTGTGGCCGTGTTCTTGAAGTTTTGTTCCCTAACGTTAGGAAACAAAACTTCAAGAACACGG